AAAGAATCTTTTCCCCTGGAGCTGGCTATCTTCCTGTCTCTTGCTCTCTGTAGACCCGTGAATTTAGATCTCCCTGAGTATCTTTGTGAAGTCTGTCAGGATGGCGCTGGCTAGTGTGTCCATCGAGATTTAATCATCAGGACTTCTCTGGAATCCATAGTGACTTCCTTGGAGACTCTGTCTATTCCTCCGTCAAAGATGGATGGGGAAGACAACGGGCTGTATATAGTGGAGCTGTAAAGTTCTCACCCCAGCTGCAGGAAGCGAGGAGGCCTTGACGACGAGCTAAGGTCAGTGCTGCTGAGACAGATGTGAGATGATCCGTTAGGAACTGTTGGTCCTTCTTTTGCATAAGTAGGGCCGAGTAAATCATTCTATCATCTTCAGAGGTCGTGTTACGAAATCTGGTGATAAGTGTCTCATTGATCGTTCTAGATCTATTTAGACCAAAGAACATACGTCTCGTCATGGTTTCTATCTGAACCAATTTGCGATCGTCAATCTTGTAGTTCTTGTTCTTGACATCGCTGATCAGCTTGTAGTTTTCATCGATGTCTTGAGCCTTGAAGAAGGGGTCCATGTTATGCGTGGAGAACTTCTTGGCGTGAAAGTTTGGCAGATGTGGTGTCTGAACTTTCGTGGCTTTATGGAATGCTGTGTCTAGATTCTGTGGTACCGCAGCAATCGGGTCGATCGGGGGTAGTGTGACAGCATCTGCATCGTCTTCTTTCATCAGGTATGTCTGCTGCGGACTGCCACTCTTGGAAGGTGATGAGAGATCTAGGTTGTTTACCATCCAATATCTGATCTCTGCATCTGAGAAAATAATTCCTCCATCATCTTCTATTCCAGCATCATTGATGAGAGGTTGGTGCTCTTCTGATGTTGGACTGTGTGGTTCTATCTCTTTATCGGGTGGCGCTTGTGGAGACCTGGTTGTAGACTTGTGTGCAGACCTGTGTGGTGATCGACGTGGTGATATGCCGGAGATCGGCGTTTGTGAATGGCGAGGAGATCGCCTTGGTGATCTACGCCTGTGGGTTGACCTTCTCGGAGACCTGTGAGGGGAACGTTGATAGCTTCGCGAAGCTCTTGTGTAGTCCCTTGATGACTTTCTAGATGATGACGATCTGGGTTCAGGGCGCCCTTAGCGAATGCCTTCGCGAAGCTTCCCTCTGCGTCCCGGTCCTGGGGAGCGGTGATATGACCTTGAGAAGGCTTCCGTGAGGTCTGGTGGTCTGAGTCCATTATCTGAGGATGACGCCGAGAAGAAGGTGATGATCTCTCCCGCCTGCGAAGGCTGTACATCTCTGGGTCCTTCGTCGAGGTGGTCTGTGACTTCCTTCGCCGAAGGTGGCTTCGTCGTGGCTGCTACGCTGACGGGGGTGCCTCTGGGGTGCTGTCTCACGTTGGAGCCTTCGCGAAAGGCCTCGACCCTAGGTTGGATGCTTCTCCAGTCTGTAGTGGCCCTCCATCATGATCATGATTTGGCCGCATCAGATCTTCTGGGATGGTCTGCACGAAGTAGACAGTGCCCTCTCTGGCGATGTTAGCGGTGGGGCCCTCAGGGATCTCGTCGCCTGACATCAGTGTAGAGGCATCAGGCTACATGGTGATCTCTGCTGAAGTCACTGTAGCTGTCACCGGTCGCTTCTTGTGGCGTATGTCGGGGATGATGATCGGCTGGTCATCGTAGAGGCCCAATTCTGCGGCTGGAACGATCTCGGCTGAGAAAGTTCTTGACGACTTCGTAGATTTCCCTTTGGAGGATGACGCTGCCCTGGGGGTACGAAGTCTGCGTTGAGAAGACGTTGAGGCCCTCTTGGACTTTATCTGCGATGACGGGATGTCTGGGGAGGCCGGTCGCTTCTTAGAGGTGACGGACTGCATCCCACGTCCCTCTTCCGATGGGGTCTCTAGCAGAACACCAGACGGGAGGGGGTCGATCGACAGCAGCTGACTGGATGGGAATTCGATGTATCGGCCATGTCTAAACCTTGTTTATGCGTGATCTATCTGCAGCACGCCTCAAGACGCATAAAGATGGTATTTATTAAAGGCAGAATTAGTTAAATTAATGCAGTAACTGCAAGCGTGAATCAAACGCGCAAGGCATTAGAACAACTAGGGCATACTACATGGATCGGCAGCGGAAAAACGTAATCTACAAATAGTACAGATTTTCATCAACGTAATACTAGCTGAACAATCAACGAACTCACGTGAATAAACAGTAGAAATCACGATTAATTATCAATACAAATTAATGAAGGATACTAGCTATACCTTTATAGTAAACTATAAGAGGTAACTAACTAAGAAAACCAAAGGATATAGTGTGTAAGGAGACACAGGCGCTTCTCACATCCTGCTCACTGGGCTTAAGAAGGAGAGAGTGAAGCATGAGGCCAGAGGGTGGCAACACCTGTTCCCGCCTAAAAGGGCAAAGGGAGGCAACCTCGTGGTGAGTACCAATTAGTGATTTTACATTGAAGGGAGCTTCAATTTAATATATTTGTGCTCAGACACCATGTAAATTTGGTCTGGAAAACATGGGGAACAGCTAAATATGTTAACATTTGTTTTAAAGAATGAAAAAACATTAAAAAGTGCATTAAGGATCACACTAACATGGATTTATCCTACTCATAACCGGCTCCTGTAATGACATATGGTTTGGTTGATGCGGCACAATATCATACTTTTGAATTTTGTAGAGAGGACGGAAAGACACAGTAGAGTTATCTCCCCTATTTGAACACACAACACTTAAGAGCTTAAGGTAAAACACACGGCTGTGATGTTTGTTGTTTAATGCCGCACTCAGCAATAATTAAGTTCTATGCGGCAGTCTGTAAATAATAGAGTTTGGACCAGAAAATCCAGTCGTGAACAGCATGAGCATCGATCTACTCAGTTGGGATACGATGACATGTGTCAACCAAGTCAGCGCGCCTGACCACCCGATCCCATTTGTCGCCCTTTACGACAAGCACGGGTTGCTGAAGACCAATTCTGACCTGGATTTTAAAAGGTCACAACTGTGAAGACTTCATTGGTTATAATAAAGAAAACAAAACAATATCATGTTCTCATCACACTAAAATGAAAACAGTTAAATCTACATTCTACAAACCTATAACTTTCTCTTCAATTTTTGGCACATCCTGTAGAACATTCCCTTCTTCACAACTCTCACAATATTCCATGGGCGGTTCAGGCTGAATATATTCCCCTGTTCCACTAGCACTGACTTTGGCATCTTGCTTATTGTCAGTAAAACATTCACTGACACTCTCCACCATAGCACCTTCTAATTTCTCAGATCTCCCCTGAGTAACACTGTCTACATCAGCTGCAGCTACATCAGCATCAGTGTCTCCTTCATCAGACTGTTCACCATCGCCCAGCTCTGTTGGTGTAACATTAGCCGATCGTAGCAACTTCTCATACACAGAGCTAGGTGAAGCCGACCTTCCTAACAGTATAGGGTTGTCAATATCATCATCATCATTTTCAATATCAATATCCACATCTTCTTCTTCGTCAACTGAATTTGAGCTTAAGTTGCCAATTTCATCCGAAGAAGCGTCGGTTTCCTTCTGCAGAGCCTCATCTTTACCTTCAGGTTGTTGTACAACAGAAGCAAGAATGTCGGACTGAACAACTTCTGATCCATCAGCTGAGACTGTTGTGAGAGTCTGGAGATCACTTGCACTAAAATCACTCTCAACAACAGCAGCCAAAGTGTCCAGCCCGGGAAGCGATATGGATCAGCGTCCCAACCGAGCTGTCAAAACCTAATTCCTTACTCCCAGACAAGAACCCTACCCCAGACAGATTAACACTGGGAGACAGTTCACTTGTGTCCACATTCCCTGTGTAGGAGCCACACTGTAGATCCTGCAGACCAGAAATACCAACAATTGTATTTGCAGATGGCAAAACACCATCAAGACCATTGCTTATGCCTTGGGCTGGGTCTATTTGAGAGTCTGCTTTGGTGGAATTTTGGCTTTTCTTCTTGTTTTTGGACTGCTTAGACAGAGAAGTCTTTCTGTTCTGATTAGCTGAACTAGAGAAGGATGTGACGGTGGGCTGGGCAGTTGTGACGGAAGCAAGGACATTTGCCAGAGGGTCAGCAGACTGGCTGAGGTGGGAGGTCAGTTGTGTTGAGCCAAGGGGAAGATCTCGAGACGTAGATGACACAACGGCAGAGGCAGCATCAGCCTTCTTGGCCTAAAACAGTCAGAAGAGTGAGACATGCAGAATCAGCAGAATAACAGGCAGAGTCAGCAGAATAATGTGCAGGGTCAGCAGAATAACACATTGCAATTATGTGAGCGTGAATGTTGTTATATGACACAGTCACCAGTACTTCAGCTCCAACTTGTCATCCTGTACATAAGTCAGCCAAGAAGACACAAACATGAGTGAGTGAGTGAGTCAATATGGATTTACGCCACTTTTATCAATATTCCAGCAATATCACGGCAGGGGACACCAAAAATGGGCTTCACATATTGTGCCCATGTGGGGAATCAAACCCGGGTCTTCGGCGAGACGAGCAAACGCTCTAACCACTAGGCTACCCCACCGTCCCCACAAACATGAGCTTAACAGCCGATTCTCATCACAGTTCCCCCGTACAACCTACATATGACTTGCTGAAGAACTGTCTGTGTTAAAATCTCCACAACTGTCAATAATGCAGCACCACACAGGTTCCAGGAATCAAGTAAGAAATTGTTGTGGATATAGTGCAGGGTCTGTTCCACAAAGTGACGTCAACGCTGTAGTGATCATAACTCCCAAACTTTATAAACACAGACTTTCAGTAGGTGTAGCTTTACAATTGCTTGGTGGGATATTGTCCCTAGTGCATTGTAGAAAACAACATTAAGGCTAAGACTGTTGTACGTCTATGTTAAGGTGTAAGAGTTATGGGTAACTAAGAGCTAAGATCACTATTTTTCAATGGCATCCAGGACATTGTTATATTTGCTATATAAGTATTACAAGGGACTAAGGTTTTATTAATGTATACCAGAGTATTAATGTAAACAAACATGTATGCATTATTATTGAAACAGAGAAATCCCTATTAATTTTTAAATAAAACTTGTATTAAAAGGCTAAACAATGATAGCCTAATCAGCAGTCTTTGTATCATCAGATTAATGATGATGACAACAACAGAATGATTATATATCAAATATGATTCATACACCATGCAAACCCAATGCAATACACTAAACAAAACAGTCAATACTAAGTAGAGGCTGATTATTCTGTTCATCAAGAACTTGTAAACTCAGCCCAAATTGCTGTTCTTTCTTGTCCAAATATGCTTTTGTCTTCTAAGGATATAATGGTATTTTGGGTTTCAGTAGATGACAGTACAGCAACATACTAGATTCTTGAAGTATTGCTGGGCATAGTTCTTCACTTGCAGGCTTGTCCGAGTGGGAATGATTTCAGAGATGCGAGTCCAACTTCTACCATACAAATCCTGGAAAACAAAACAAAATTGGGTTAGTTCCATGTTTTACCCACACAGACTCTTGGGTTGAAAATCTGTCACTGGCAATGTAACCTTTTATAAGGCTCCAATCATTTATCAGTGAGTGAGTTTAACTGCTCAGATCGTCTTCCCAAAGCAAGTGTGAGGTAAGGTGATATGGAGGAGTTTAACGTCGTACTTAACAAATATTTCGCTTGTATGACGATGTGCATGTGTGTGTATGTGCGATTGCTTGTACTAGCCCAGACTCAAGCTGGCTTTTATAGTGCTAGATACCATGCCGCAGTTAAGTATGAATACGCCACTCAGACATGTTATACTGATTCCGAGGGACCAACAAGTACCATATTTTAACGTCTTTTGGGATGACGCGGCCGGAGATTGAACCCACAACCTTCCACTCTCCGGGCAGATGCTCTAACCACTACACCACAGAGGGGTCCCCAAAGCAAGGGAGTTAACCCACTATAATTACTGTTGGATGAAACCCATATCAAAGATATTTCCACACAGTGCAGCCAAGGCATACAAATGTATGATCACGGTTCAAGGTTTTCATCACATGGGAGCTTGTCATGGAAGTAACATGTAGTACACCTCCTAATACACTTTTATATCAGTGCTATTCCATTTAGCCATCTGCAGGAACCCTAAGGGTCATTGGGTCTTCAGCCTTAAGAACAATGCCCTTTGTTCTCAGAACTGTGCCTTCACATCTAGTGTACTGCCACGAGGCCTGTATCTCTTACATAGGCTTTTACATAATCATGATAATTATCATAGGTGTTGAAAACCGGAACATATCTAGCATCTTCATTTTAACGGCATGAAGAATAAGAACACTCTATATTAAGGAATCAAAGAATAAAGTGGGTCTCAATGACACTGTCCAAATCCCTGGGGATAGGTCCACATAAGTCATAAAACAAAAATCATAAGGCATAAGACATAAAATCAAAAGGACATAACCCAAAGACTCATGTCTTAAAACATAAAGCATAAGGCATAAGACATAAATCAAAGGTATAACCCAAAAATCATGTCTTAAGACACATAAATCATAAAATCATAAGGCATAAGACATAAATCATAAGACATAAAATCATAAGACATAAATCATAAGACATAAGACATATTATTACCAGCCCACTGAGAAAAGTTGTTTCTCTTCCTCATTCCAGGGAAAAGTTGTTTCTCTTCGTTTGGCGGAGTTCGACTTGGGTTTTGTCGGGCTGGAAGGCGGAGACTTGTCAGATGAAACCATCTTTGACTTAGATCGGCCATTGAGGTATTGTCTTGGGAAGTGGTCAAGGAAAACTTGACAAAGAATTAATGCCTCAGAGTGGGGCTCTGTTAAACTGATAATAAGATTAAAAAAGAAAATAAACATATATATATGGAAAGTGCAGCTGTGTATTTGTTTACAACTTTTATGTCCACTATGACCAATTTCTCGGTTTTGATCCTTCACAATAAGCATGCGTTGTTCAGTACCACTTCTAGCCCACATCTTTAACCAATGTATAGATCGGTACTCATATATAGGCACATAAGGATACTGTTCTTCCATCAGCATTCTTTCTATGGTGGCCTTTGACTTTTCATCCATGTAGCTGTCCATTGTCCATCCCTTGAACATGAATGAGTGAGTGAATGAGCATGGTTATATGACAGTCTAATGCTTGAAGGGCAGTTTGAAGTTGGGAAGTAACACAACAACGTATGGTATGGATTTACATTCACCTGATGAAGGGGCAAGAAGTAGCGCAGAAACGTTGTGTTGTAAATATTAAAGAAGTTGTAAATCCATACCATACATTGTTGTATGACAGTCTAAGAAAACTTAGGTTCAGTATTATTCGTTTCACTGCTTATACTGAGTTTAACAAACCCTAGTGGAAGGTCGCATCAGCTAACCTTTGAGCGACCTATGACCGTCCAATAAAACACGAGACGGCCGAAAGGATTTAACCATTCAGACAACAGCTACTATTTACAGTTCTGCGGGACTTAAGGTTCCCTTTCAAAATCAACAATGACTAGTTTAATATTTTAATTCTTTCAGAATTCAATTTGAGTTTCTGTGTGAAGTGTTTTTGGATTTTCTCTTCCCCGGTCGCTGACACTGATCTCTCAACAAACGAAAATCGGCATAAACACAGATCTATATTTGACCTGCAGTATATACACTTAGAGGTTTCTGATGACATGTCACATAGTTACTATTGGCTTATATTTCTGCAAGATGACATCCTGGAATATTGACATAAACGCTATTTTCAGCGACTGTTTACTCACTGTTGTGAATAATGGCTTCCTCCAAGTGTATCACTCGGCAATGATCATACAGAAAACAGAATTCGGAATCGTTTCAGTACAAACATTTTCCAGGTAAAACTTCAAATGGTATGTGCGAATGTTAACTTTTTCGATTTCGAGTAAGCTGTGTTCTGATTTGTCAATTCAAAAGGTTAGTTGACACGACCTTCTACTAAGGTTTGTTAGACTCAGTATAGCAGTGTAACGAATAATAGTAATTAATACTGGGCCTAAGTTTACTTAGACTGGGTTACAGGACAGAAATGGGCTTCACACATAGTACCCATATTGGACATCAAAGCTAGGTCTTCGGCGTGACAACTGAACGCTTTAACCACTAGGCTACCTAACCGACCCGAACATAAGCAGACAAGATAAGAGATAATCACATTGTATTTTCAGCAAGGAAAACATATGATACAAACCAACCTGAAGCTTGCTCATTGTCAATGTGTTATATATTATATTTAATTTCATATTTCGTCTCTGGTGTATTGGGTAAATATTTTATAATTAGTTTTGTTGTTATTTGTACGGTTTAACCTAAAGCCTTCCCAAAAATCCATTCACAAGGGATGCTTCCCTTCAAAATCAACACACAAAAATTGTAGAAAACTAGGGAATGATTTGTGTCAGGTTATCTCCCCTGTTTCAAGAAATTTACAAAATATACTGATCATTCATTGTGTCTTGAGTGTAAAGATTTCTGCTGCAATGTCAAAGAAATTGAAGATGCCTTTTGACAAAGATATCATGGCAGTCGATGACATCACAGTGGTCTGCAAAACACTGTGAATACTGTGATACATGTTCTAATTGATATATCCAATGGAAATCAGTTTTGGATAATAAAAATACAATACAGAACAAACTTTATGGATAACAACTTCTTATATTCGTGAGTGCGACGTTTCCATACAGATTCTTGTACCGTTGTCAAGCTTGACAATCTGTATCGAAATGGTACAAGAATCTGTATCGAAACTTCACACTCACGAATAAAAGAAGTTGTTATCCATAAAATTTGTTCTATATTGTACTTCCCAACTTCTAAAATGCCACTCAAAGAAGATAATAAAAATAAACAGATCAATATGAGTTCTGTTGGATAAACACTTTATTTAAGAAGTTATATGGTTAGCATAATGAATAGTAGAAGTAAACATCATATGTCACCTATGTGTTGCTTATGGCTATGCAGTTACTTAATGGAGAGAATGTAGTGATACTGTTTTAAAAGACAAATTATGATGAGTCATACTAATAGCTTTTAGGTGAGGTGAAATGGGGTTTAATGTCTTACTTAAGAATATTCCCCTCATAAGACGATGTGCATGCATGTGTATGTGTGGCTGCTTGTACTAGCCCAGACTTAAGCTGGTTTTATAGTGCTTGCTCACTGAGATACCATGCCGCAGTGAAGCATGTATACCCCACTCAGACACATTATACTGATGCTGAGCCGACCAGTCCTTGTTAAACCCTTTAAACTGAGCGCCAGGCAGAGATATTTCAATGGTTTGGGTTTGATATTTTTGTTTCTTTTCTGGGACATTTTAGTGGCAGTTATTCAGATGATTTTTGTAGGCAACATTTGCATGTGTGAAAACAGAATGATTGCATGAAAAGGACCAACAAGTACCATATTTTACCGTCTTTTATTATGATGTGGCCGGAGATCGAACCAGCAGCCTCTCCCGAATAGTTTTTATAGAACTACACCATTTACACAAAATACCTAATAACAGGTGTTAGGAAAGTGCTACTTTGAAAAGCAGAAATATACATGACAACATTTACGCATTGTGCATGTTGAATAGAGTGAGTGAGTGAGTTGAGTTTTAATAATCAGCAATATTCCAGCTATATGGTGGCGGTCTGTAAATAATCGGATCTGGACCAGACAATCCAGGGATCAACAGCATGAACATCGATCTATGCTATTGGGATACAATGACATGTGTCAACCCAGTCAGCGTGCCTGACTCTTGGTTGGCTCTTACGACAAGCATGGGTTACTGAAGATCAATTCTAACCTGGATCTTCACGGGTGCATGTTGAATAAAAAAGGAAATATGGAGAACTTACAGTCTCAAGTTAATGGAACGAAATATTCCCTGACATTATCCGACTAATTGCAAGACAACAGTTTACCTGCTCCAGCATCCATGGAGGGTTGGTAAACTCGGGAAGCAGGTTTGCACTCTTTGAGGGCAGTTCATTGGCATCATAGAATCCATCTTCAACTCTGAAAAAATGTTCAGTCAATTCAAAATCATTTTATCGATTTACAACACTCTTTTCAGTCATGGTAACTGACCAACCAATCTTTCAATAGTAATCAAAATGAGTAATCAGCACTGACCAGACCTACACAATCCTGCTATTCCAAGAAAACTTTATGGCAGTGGGTGAGTGAGTGAGTTTAGTTTTATGACGCTTTTAGTTTTAGCAATATTCCAGCAATATCACTGCGGGGGACACCAGAAATGGACTTCACACATTGTACCAGAGAGGCCAACCCTGAATCAAATGAAAGTGGAGTCATGCCTTGCTAAAAGCAATTCCCCAGCCCTGAAGGTGTGAGTTGGGGGTGAGCGTGAGAGCGTTTGTCGGTAGGGGTCTGGGGGACTTCCCCTATGGAAATGTTTAGATTTAGCCTGGAAATATGCAATCTCTGGGCATACTTAACCAGATAATTCTTAACTCAAATGAACAAATTACAAAACTTCTTTCAAACATTCTAAATTTATAAACATATTTGTATTTGTTGTACCCATGTAGGGAATCGAACCCAGGTCTTCTGCGTGACAGGTGAACGCTTTAACCACTGGGCTACCCCACCAACCCATATGGCAGTGCACACACAGTAACAATGTACCATTTGTTGGATAACAATATTAGTTAGTGAAGATGTGAATAGTGTGTGATAACATTTCAATCTTGTTATTAGTGAATTTTTTTCAAGTAATAGACATTTAAAAACCAACCATCTACTTGTCTGTTATCATGATCAGTTCTGCACCTTGACTATGACACAATCAGCAAGAATGGCAGACATAATTACTCGAAAAACCTGTTCAGGTTCTATATGGACTCCTTACTGGTACAAAACTGTTCAAATCAAATATTCTTTATCCATGCATAATGTCATTATGTCGGCGGTCTGTAAATAATCAAGTCAGGACCAGACAATTCAGTGATCAACAGCATGAGCATCAATCTACACAACTGGAATATGATGGTCAACATATGTCGACCATGTTAGTTACAACAAGCATGGGTTGCTCAAGATCCGTTCTAACCTGGATCCACGCAGATCCAGCAATGGGAATTGCTGTGTTGCCCATGGTTGATAGGACAGTTTTACTTTGCACAGCAGATGTTTTAAATATTTTGATTCTCGAGAACAGGTTATTCAGACATGAAAAGGTTTCAGCCTGACACTCCACCAGTTCTTAATTTTTCAGACCATGACGTCCCTATCAAATAGTAAAGTGATTTCAACCACATACATGTCAGCAGGAAATCTTTACATTTGGCCTCCTTTCAGACAGAGAAACAACAAAGAAACTTAAAGTTTGCAATGATGAATGATCATGATATTGTTTCATCAAGTAATGATGAAAATATTCATAACAATCATGAGAAAGACAAGAAATACTTTGAAAAGAAACACTGATATGTCACATCAAGAGCTCCACATGATACAAACATATTTGACACAGTGGTTTAATATGTAACAACTTTATTAACAGTAGGGGTGGGTATTGCAGAGAATATTCATATTGCGATATATTGCGATGCGAAAGCATGTATTGTGATATGTATTGCAATATATTGCATGAAGTAATTTTTTTTTTAAAACTACATATAATCGAGTTATTGGTTGATTTATAGAGCAAAAACACAACAAAATCACTATGCTTGATTAAGCTTTAATAACAAATTTTAATCATGATAGAATAAAAATGTGAATAATATTTGGCACAAATAAAACAAGGAAATATCCGACGATTTCCGAGTGTTACGACGTTTTCCGAATACATGTCAAAATACCGGTTTTCGATCAGCGTATCGCAAAACGTATCGTTTTCATGTCTGAACCGGTAAATACCGGTAAACCGGTTATATTGCGCAGCCCTAATTAACAGACAGGGACTTGGCTTGTCGTCATCGTGTTATTATCATGATTACAGCAATAAACCCGTTTATAACGATTCTCACCAGTCATGTTTATTTACACTTTTACTGGTACCGTACTCTAAAACCTAAGTCCGACGGGACATTTAGCGCAACGTCTAAGGTTTCATGGCGTTGGCCTGAAGAGTCATATTCAATCATGCACCATAACAGAAAACCTTAGAAATAAATCAGTCTTTTATCTGCATGATTTGTTGATTTAAAATATTGGATCTAAATTTGACAAGCGATTTCTTCAGCAGCTGTGTATATGATTTTATCACATCTTGCAAAATATCACACTTTCATGACGAAGCATTTATCTGTTTGTGTTTCACTCATTTCCCCATGATATTTACTTACTCCAGCTTAAAATCAAACTCCCCTTCGATGTCAATTTCTCCATCGTCCGCCATTTTGGATATAGTGCAGAAGAGTTACCTCCCTTGTAAGTTTGCTATTTTTTGTGTCTTAACACCATTTGCCTCCCTTGCACTTTTTGGCATAAGGCAAGAGAAAAATTGCTAATATTTCGCTTCCCATTAGCCACTTTACAAAACTCTACTCCACTTTGTCTGAAAGAGTTAATAGTGTGGTCGAGCAAAAACATTTCGTGTTCGTGAAATGGAAACTAAAATGTATAATTTGCTAAAACACGACTGTCGGAACAATTGAGAACAGTCAACCGATAAGTAAATGATGTTATATCCATATACAGATATATTGTATATATCAGGTAGATAAGGACCAGCTAACGTGTCCGACCAGTAGTGGCGTTTGCAATCTAGTGCTGCGAACATTCCTGAACTAGCTTTGCGTGTGCATTAAATTTACCACGATATGTTATCATTGATCGATCATTCCAAACATTACTTAATACAAAAAGGCCTACGTTACTGCGCAGTTCTAAATGTCACTAGATATATTTTCAGACATGATTTCCAAGTTGTAGTTATAATACATAAGTATTATGTATTGACGTATTTAGGTCAGATGCTATTTTGGGCATATGGCCTTTGGATAGCATACTCTATATCTACCTTTAAAATTCCGGGCACTACCTGGTGCCCTTTGACCTCTGTTCTGTTTGATGAACTAATACAGACATACTTTAGAATAACTGAAAATTTCAGCATTAATTATCAATAAATATTTAATATTTGTGAAGTGAGGATAAGAGTACGTTGGCACGTAAAACAGTTTATTATTTATCACACATAAACCAAATTGAATGGCCATATTATCATATGTTTCCTAGAACATCCGCATTTCATGTCTTGTGTTTATAGTCAACTCTAAGTCGAATATAGTTTGTAGTTGACAAACATAACTTTCTTGACAATCATCGGAAACTGGAAAAATAAGAACTTGCTTGATCATTTTCTTTTCAAAAGTACATACGGATCAATTTAGCTATATGTATAATCAACAGGATCATATACGACACATATTATATACAACTTTTAAAAGGCATATCTTATCCCAAACTTGACAAACATGTAAGAACAATTATTCTAATATGATTATGACTTGCAATAAAACACTTTCAGATTCTAAACCACAATAAAGGCGTTTAAGTGAGTGAGTGAGTTTAGTTTTACGCCGCACTCAGCAATATTCCAGCTATATGGCGGCGGAAAAAGGCGTTTAAGATTTGCCCTGAACAAGTCAGCTTAAATAAGATTACGGAAAATATTTGCTTTTGACCTGTTGCACTATCGTCAGTGGCTTGTTTTGTTTTGTTTTTGTCTCAGTAATTTCAGTGAACTCATTCCTATTTGTACAGAATATTTGAACTAATCCTGAAGATTGAAAGGTTACATTTGTTTAGTAGGATATGGTTAGTAAAGTTTGATTTGTTGTCTGGTGGTTTATCGGAAGTTCATCCTTGAGCTGTACAAGGATAACACCGTTTGAGATGATGATTGTATCGCACCATGTGTAGTGCATGACTTGTCCAGTTAACACTACCGGGCAAACCGGGAAGATCCGGTTTAGAATTGATCTTCAGTAACCTATGCTTGTCTTAAGAGGCGACTAACGGGATCGGGTGGTCAGGCTCGCTGACTTGGTTGACATATGTCACCGTATCCCAACTGCGTAGATCGATGCTCATGATGTTGATCACTGGATTGTCTCGTCCAGACTCGATTATTTACAGACCGCCGCCATATAGCTGGAATATTGCTGAGTGCGGCGTAAAACTAAACTAACTCACTCACTCACTACCGGGCAATATCTCGCCCAGGTGTAATATCGTCGCTTGCTCTAAGTGTTGATTATGTCAAAATGGCCATGTTGGCTTTGGTATGGTAACAAAATGGCACGTGCTTTGTTTTGTTAGAACTGAAATCTGCTCGCATGGCAGTTTGATGGTGCCTTTTCTCATCAGTAACAAAATGGTTTCAGTTCGACGTGCTAAATATAGTTAAACGCTTTTTGATTTTGTATTGAAAAACACTCGGACCCATAGCTTTTGACAGTTGGCCGACAGTTTTTTCATCCCCAATAACTAAGAGTATTATTTCCATATTAAATTATAGGGCCTACACATTCTGATCAGGACCCACAACGTTTTATGGTTCTGGGACCTTAGGGCCTGCAGCTTTCCAGGGTTAAGGGCAAACACTGTTGTAGACGAAACATATTAAGATGACTTGCAATGCACCAACCAGTATTTACTGAGTACAGGGTCCATACAGTTCGAATGTACCGTTACATGTGATAATTAACGATAACACAGATACATTCTAACTACTGACTGGGGACACCGACCTAGTCATGGGTATACATTACTGTCTTGTTGACTGTAATAACTCAAGCACGAATTGGCGAGCCAAAGAACATAAAGAGGACAATGAAAGAACAAAATAAAAGGTTCACATCCTACAGTAATGCAATCCCCATTTGTCGGGCAACATCTTTTAAGGGGCGATGGTGTAGCCTAGTGGTTAAAGCATTCGCTCGTTACGCCGAAGACCCGGGTTCAATTCCCCACATTGGTACAATGTGAAGCTCATTTTTTGTGTCCCCCGCCGTGATATTGCTGGAATATTGCTAAAAGTGGCGTAAAACCATACTCGCACTTGCTACATCTTTTAGATTCCGCTAAATGATATTTCACAGTCTAATTTTAGAGAATACATATCGCCATAAGACCAGAACCAAGTGTGCCATCGTTATGCCTCCCTCCATTTTATTAAGGAGACATCTTTGAGCTGGTTCCGATTGGGAAAAAATGAAACGATGTTACCACCCAAAGTCAAAGAGAACCGAAATTGTTTAAACTTTCAATGGAATGTTTCAATATAAGTACAAGTGCCTTTATTAAGCCTGTGTACGAATTGTCTTAGTCTTTAACTATCATCGTTTTCACAATGTTATTAATCTATATATTATGCCTGAAAACACAGGGGCGGACACGCACGCACACGCACGCACACGCACGCACACATACACACACCTTTCTGCCAATCCTGGATCCACCCCTGATGTACATCATCAAATTAAGTGAAAACTAAGCGATAGGGTATACGTGTTATGTCTTGATGTGACGTAAGAGGAATGGAAAGGATATTTTAATCAGTTTATCATCAAATTTTAATGAAATAATATTGATTGTTGACGGGTAATTTCACCTACAACTCGTATACCTACAGCCTTATTCACGACCTTACTACTAGATCAACCTGTGTCCCTGAGGTCAAAGATACTGACACGGATAACATGGAGCAGATAAAGCCAGCAGTTCCATATTCCAGTTTACGGAAACGGTGGACATTTACCTCTGTTATCTGTGATGATATTCCGATACTGCCACTATCTGTTTACGTGATCAGAATTTGCCGTTTAATGTTATATAGCTGTACCCGGGTCAGCTAGGAACAGAATAGTGACTAGTCTGTCTCACAGTCCCTGAACCACATTATATTCCCTACTGCCTAGCCCTCCCTGCAGTATAACAGCCCTAAATGAAGCAAGTCTAGATTTCCTCAGGTTCTGAATCTCAGATCTCAGTGGGGCTCGTAGACTAGCATCTAGTCCCTGAAATGAACAGAAAAAACTGTTCATAAAAATAATGATAAAATATAATGAAAAGGAGCCCAGAGACTTTCTTCATTTTCAGAACTGGAAATGTAGATTTTCCACATATTCTAGACTTGCATGGGCTTTCTTGGATATATTTGTTCAGGGTCTGTATGACAGACTATGGGTCTCTTGTTCAATTTAAATAGGTTTATTTGTTACTATCGAATTATATATATATTCAGAAACTAAGCTTTATTCTAGATAGTGACATGTAGAATCTTATAACGCCGGTTTGCGAAGTTGAACTGTAAAACCATTTTGTCCTCATTGATTAAACATGGTTTCCGCCGAAGACCGGGTTCGAATCTCCACATGGAGACAATGTGTGAAGCGTTATATGTGCCGGAATAGTAAAAGCGGCGTAAAACCAAACTCAGTCATTGATTAAACATGGTTTCACTAAGACCTTCTTGAGACGATATATACAGGTTCTTTTGTCTTCATCGAGGGGATATATCGCAGGGAATACAGGTAGTCCAGTTCGCCACAGTTGTGGGTTTGAATCCCTGATTATGTGCCAGGGTCATACTCAGATATGTGGGTTTCATTGAATGGATGACCCTCTAAAAACTACACCACTGGGATTTCAGGAGTGACATCATGAGTGAGTGAGTGAGTCTAGTTTTACGCCGCTTGTAGCAATATTCCAGCAATATTACGGCGGAGGTCACCAGAAATGAGCTTTTCACATTGTAACCATGTGGGGAATCGAACCAGGGCCTTCGGCGTGACGAGTGAACGCTTTTACCATTAGGCTACACCACCGCCCCAGTGGCATCATGAGCAATGCAAAGGAAACGTATCCAACAGTCTCTTCTCCACATTTGAGACTCAGCCCTTTGACTATGTTTAGTTGTTTCTTTGTTTCTTTGTTGCTAAACGCCGCACTCAGCAATATCCCCGCAATATGAGGACGGTATGAAAACAATCCAGTCTTGACCAGAAAATGAAGTGAGTCATAAAAATCAAAATCTTGGCATTTGGGATACAGTGACTTGCATCAAGCAAACCAGCAGCCTAAACACCTACCCCGTCAGTCGCCTCTTACAACAAGGGTTGATGAAGATCAAATATAACCCGGATTTATATGGACCAGATTCTATGACTTCGCTAAGTTCGTATCATCGTACATATGGCCGTTGCTCATGCATTCAGTCACTGATTTGCCTACTCCCAAACCAGGCCCAAAGTTTAATTAGATCACGTACTTTGTGAACCCCACTGACAAAAGGAAATTAATGAGTGTTTAATTTTTAATGTCTCTTTAGACAATGGCACAATAAAGGATAATTAAACTTTGACACACCCGAGTTGCAAGTTTTTCTGATGCAGGCTGTGGCTGGGTGA